CTCAATGCTATTGTCACCCCCTTTACTAATGTAACGTTAACATTAGTCCTTATTATAAGGACCCCCAAAAAGGTACCCCTAATTTTGGGAAACCCCCTATAGGACAGAGGATTTGCTTCAACAACTTGAGCAAGGAGCCTTCAAGTGATCCCTCAACTCTCAAGTGATCCCTCAAGTGAGAGCTGCTCGTGGCAGCCCAATTTTTGCTGCAGCAGTCAAACTACTGTCGCCTTGGCAGTGGAAGAACCTTCCTAGACAACCTTAGAAATTCAACGAGAGTCCTTGTGGCTGTTTGGGTAAACTTTCAAGAGATGAGAGCAAGACTGGCTCCCTGGCAGGCATTAGACAGCACCGCAGCCAAATCCGAGGCTTTGAGCGGCTTGTGCAATCGGTAATGGCGTTGGTATGAGGAGCTTCTGGGTAACCGTTATCCCAAAAAACTCTTAGCCATAAACCGCAGGAATCCGAAACCCCATAATATATTATAATCTATTATAATCTACTATAATATACTATAATATATTATACTATACTATATAGTAGCTTCCATTTTCTTTTCCATGATCCCAATATTACCCCAATATTATAACCCCAAACCCTAAACCCTATAAACCCTGAACCCTAAACCCTGAACCAATATTACCCCATTACTACCCCAGTATTACCCTACTTTGCCCCTAAACCTTAAACTCTAAACCCCTAAACCCTGGAGTCTGCCAGGGCATCACAGACGCATTCCAGAAGTTGGTCGAAGGGCGGCGTGAACAGGCGGCTGGGAGTTGAGACTGTGGTTGAGGGTTTATAGGGTTTATAGGGTTCAGGGTTTAGGGTTTGGGGTTTATAGGGTTTAGGGGTTATAGGGTTTATACGGCAGTCGAAACTGTGGCAGGCAAGAAAACCCTCACCTTATCACTGTGGTCTCGTGGGTACTCTCAACGACTACCAGAGTTTCGTTATCCGGTTACCTGGAGCTATGGGATGCCCGCCCAAAGCAAGCATGCACCTATATACGTTCCTGTTCAAGCTCAAAAGGAGAATTCCTACGGGTCCTTATCAATATGGGGATCTTACTATAATATACCCAAAGCCATATTCTGTCTACTTAAGGGGTACTATCTGTAGGTCTTTAGGCAAAAGCTCCTTTGGAAATTTCCAGTCCTGTTACTTTCCCGAAACAGGGGGACCCCATTATAGACCCCAATATACTACAACCCTTATTATGGGGACCCCCAAAAAGGGGCAAACCCTAAACCCTAAACCCTAAACCCCTAAACCCCTAAACCCTAAACCCTAAACCCCAATTTTCCCCCATTTCCCGGTCCTGTGAGGTTGAAAGGGGAGTTCCTCTGTGTGCCATGAGCATCCTGGCCCAGAAGAGCGATGTCCGCGTGCGAGCCATTGCTGGCAACTTGGAAGATGCTGTACACCATGTGAGCAGTATTCTATTTGGGGATACTATGGTACCCATTAGGGATTTGGGTGTAGGGATTAGGGTTTAGGGTTCTATTTGGGGATATTATGGTACCCAATATAGAGTA